TTTTCTCCACTCCAGGGAGATTTATCATCCACCTACCCACCTACCCACCCATCCATCCATCCATCCAACCCTTACGGCTGCATCCTCTGCCAGGTGCCATGGGGAATACAAGATGAATGAGTTAAGCAAGCTCTTTTCTCTTGCATCATCTATCAGCGGGACAAAGGACGTTGATCCACGAATTTATGCAAGTCTGAAAGGGACAGGAGAGGTTCCCTAATATACCACCCACCACCACTACCACTTCACAGATAAGGAAACTGAGATCCAGAGAGAAGACATAACACAGGAAGTGGACAGCTGGGCCAGGGTTGGAAGGCAGGTTTCGGGGCACAATCCTAATGTAACGTGGAATCTGATGCAGGAGAACAATGGGCCTGCAGTGCTGTGGCAGTCCAGGAGAGTCTAGCTGTCCTAGAGAGGGTCAGGGCATCCAGGCAGTTGGCAGAAATGGTGGAAAGCACCAAGGCAAGGAGTTTGAGGTGTCCAGGATGTGTTCTGGCTCCCACGGGATGTTCACAGGGGAGACCCAGAGCAAGGCAGGGAAGGTGGGTTGGCAGGAGATTCGTGTCCAGCCAAGGGGGCACATCCTTGGGAGTTTAGCAGCCATAGGCCCAGGCACCCAGAGCATCCCTGGAGTCGTGCAGTGCACAGCTGGAAAGGCTTGGGCAGAGCCTGGCCTTGTTTTCTCCTGGAATCTTCCACCTCCTGTTCTCCCCTGAACCATAACAATACGCTTCCAGTGAGGTTTGGGGAGACCCCAGATCTCCTGACACCTCTACCAACCATGCATCCAGCCAGCTGCCCTCCACTGGGGTCTCTGCTCATTTGCTTTGGGTTACCCCACATCCTGCCTTCACTCCTTGTCCTGTCTGTCCAGCCAGGCCCCCTGGGGAGGCCTCACCATCTCTCCAGTTCACTGAGGTCACATGCAAGAAAAGACTCACTGTGTACTTGCATTCGCAAACTCAGCTCTAAGCAGCCTGCATCAACCGAGATCTTAGCAGGAAATACACACCCCACTTGAATCCAATAATTTGAGAAGGGTTTATTAAAGGGACCATTTATAAAGGTTTTCACAGAATGGACAAACCACAAGGGGTCATGCAGTATCCCTTCTTTGATCCAAAGGGACAAGGGGATGAGGAATTCACCTGAAGGAGAGTCATGGAGGGAGGTTGCCATGAGAGCAGCAGGGACCCTCAGTCAAGGGACACAGCCAGCCCCTGGGCACCCACCAGGGAGAGAGCTGGTGGATAACTACCTGGACTTACTCTCCTCCCTTCTGCTGATCTACAGCCGGGCTTCCTATTGGCTGAACCCAACAGGAAGTGGGAGGGTGAGAGGAAGCCCATTGGAGCAGTCACAAAGGTCAGCCCTGGGACACACAGCAGGTAGGGAAAGATGGAGGGTGGATGCGGAAGGGCAAATGGGAGGTCCCCTACAGAGCCACCATGACCTTCTTCATTACAGATATGCCCACTCTCCCTTTGTACCCTCAGGAGTCCTGCCAGGCTCTGTTTCCTGCGAGTGGATCCCCTACCTGTTTCTTTCTCCCCTCCTGTGCTTCCTGACTCAGGAACCCTCTGTGCTTCTCCCACACTGGGCCTGCATGTGGGACCCAGTAACTTCAGCCTTTGTCACTCTCTTGCCCTGACCACATGAGGATGGAAGGAACTGTGTGGCCGGCCTCAGGCTGGTCCTGTCATACAGGAAGGACTCAGGAAGGGACAAGCATGAGTCCTTCCCCTTCTAGAATGAGCTACAGCTGTGTGGCCAGTGGGCAGAGCCCTGGTCAGCACTTCTATGGCTCAGGCATGCCTGGAGGTGCTGGCCTCCATCCAGCTGAGCCACTGGGGCCTGGCCAGATGGCAGCAGGCAAAGCTGAGGCTGGCTCTGAGCCACAGGCCTGGCTTTGGAAATCAGGCAAGGAGTGGCCCCGGGGAGGCAGCATGCCCACAGGCACCTCAGGGCAGGTGTGGCATGGCCCAGCCCCCAACCAGGCTGCCATTCACTGGACCTAGGCCTCAGGTCCATTGAATCTTGTAAGGAAGGCAGTGTGGTGCAGTGCAGAGCACAGGAGGCCGAGAGTCAGGAGACTGGGCTCTGTCCAGCTCTGCCCCCAACATATCTGGTCTTGGAAAAATTGCTTCCTCTTCTGGGCAGAGCCCGTTCCCCAAAATAAGATCTCCTTTAGAGCTCATATATAAAACTGGTTCAAACAAAAGAGCAGCCTCAGAGCCCTCTCCTCATCCTCAGCCCCCTCCTCACTTCCTCCCCCGACCCCATCTCTAGCTTCAGTCCCAGAGATATCTCTTTGGAATCTTAAGTTTCCACAGATAATGATGTGCAAACCTGGCCTGTGTGCTCCCTAAGTGGTCCCAGGCAGCATGCATACGCTGTGAATTTTTTTATGCATAAAAATATACAAAATGTTACTATAAACCCCATGTACCCATCACCCAGATTTGATATCCGCACCCACTTCCTCCCTTCCTATATTATTTCAAAGCAAATCCCAGACACCATGTCATTTCATTTGTAAATATTTCAGTTTGTGTCTCTAAAAGATGAGGACGGATTTTAAATACATGGCCACGATGTCATTGTCACACTTTTAAATATCTAATTAGAACTCATATTTTCAATTGTTTATTTACTTTTTTTCTTTTTACAATTTGTTAGAATCAGGGTCCACATGAGACACACGTATTGCAGTTGGTTGATCCGTCTGTCAGTCTGTCTTTGTCTTGTTCTGTGAATTGTAAGTGGCCAGTGAAGCTCAGGGTAGCTGGTGTAGGTGGGCTTCTCTGGGGGCAGTGAAGACATTCCCAGGACCCTGGAGGGGAACCTGTTCTGCCATGAGCCCTTTTTAATGCCTGAGGGAAGAGGAGGGAAGGAGCGGAAAAAGCTGTGCTGAGGCTGTGCTGTGGCTTCCCACCAAGAACCTGTAACTGCCTGTTTTGGGGGGACCCCACCCAAGGCTGGGGTGAGGCCAACCTCAGAATTCGGGGTGCCTTACTAGTTATGAGAAGGATCCAGAAAAGGATGGCTTCCCCGAGAGTGGGCTGCCCTGGAGGCAGGAGCCTGGGGTTTAATCCAGTAGTAAAATTGACCATGAACTGCAGACACTGCATTTGGCATCTGCTGAGATGCAGGGCTTTGCCAGAGGCGGGGACTGCTGAGATAAATGAGGGATTCTCTGCCCTCCGGGAGCCCACAGCCCTTAGGGAGGACAGACAGGCACATTGCATATTTAACCTCTAGACTTCAATGTACCAATCTGGAAAATGGAAACAATAGCACCTTATCCATTAGGCCAGCAGGTTTCTATGAAAGCCCTCCTAGATCTAAATGGGATTTGATGAATAGGAAAACAGGAACAAACTAGACCTATAAAAGAGGTGGAGGGGGGAGGGCTTGGGGGATTCACAGCAGGCCCCAGAGTCCTGGAGTCCTGCCTCTACTGTGAACTAACAGCAGGGCAGCCTTAAGCAGAACGCCCTCCACCATTTGTGTCACCCCAGTGCCTCCATGTTTTGGAAATGATGGAGTTCAGGGAGTGCAGAGTGGGGAACCTAAGCCTTTCTGTGATTTTCAGACAATACAATATCTAGGTTCGGATCACAGCCCCATAGAAAGCCCCGGTTTCTACTGTCCATGGTACTGATCTATTGTCTAGGCCATGGTGCCTCAACCTCAGCACTATTGATATGTTGAGCTAGATAATTCTTTGCTGTGCGGCCTGTCCTGTGCACAGTAGGATGTTTAGTGGCACCCCTGGCCTCTACCCACTAAATGCCAGTGGCTCTCCTTTCATTGTGGCAGCCCAAAACATCTCTAGACATTGCTAAATGTTCCCCGGGGGCGGGGGGGTGGGGGGTAGGGGCAGAAGGACTCCAGGTTGAGAACCACTGGCCTAGGCTAGAGGAACGCTATTTCTCTGTAAAGATATATGAGTGTGTACCCTTCCTTTTGACTCTGCACTTCTGGCTGGCACCTCTGATCTGTTTTCACTTCCAGAATGTTCCGGGGGTGTCAACGCTTCGGACTTCAGTGCACCTTTCGAAAGTTGTCTTAAAAACAAATGCCCTCAGTGGCCCTCTTGGCCACACTGAATAAATGCAGAAGTATGGTAATTGTGCTGGGGGTAAGCACACTTGCCCTCAATTGATACAGACTCAGAATTGAGGGGAGGAAGAGAAGCGGACAGGTCACCTGAGGAGCCCTCTGTGGCTGAGGGGCCCACCCTGGCCTGCTGTCATTGCCAGGCTCTGTCCTGTGGCTCACTTGCCTCTGCTTTTCCCTTTGTCCATCCACTAGGAAAAGAAAAAAGGGAAGACTGGCCCTAGAACATAATTTTCCTGGAGCCAGGGCCTCCTATAGGTGGTATCACAGTTCCTTTGTGTGTGTGTGTGTGTGTGTGTGTGTATGTCTAGGCTCATGTCACCTCTCAGTGGTACAGTGGGAAATATCTGAAGCAAGAGCTGGGGACATCAGGCTGCAATCCTGCCCATGTCAAAGCTAGCAGTGTGACCTTGGGCAGGGGATCAACCTCTGAGCTTAGCGTTCTCATCTGTAAAGTGAGGCTATTAATACCTCATTCACAGGGTTGTCATAAGGATTAAATGAGACAGTGTTTGCTATTCCGCCCAGCTGCCTAGGGAGAAAGGCCCTGAGACACCATCAGCCATGGGGACCATGCAGCCCTGGCAGCAGCGCCTGTGGGCCTGTCAGCGGGCTTTTCAAGGTGCAACAGAGCCAATGAGTTGAAGATGAATGAAGGTAGTCACGATGAATGTTTTCCAAAAACTTGACGTAGAAGATGACTAACCCACTAGGAGCCCACCTGCATGTTACAAGCATATAGGTAGCTGTAGGTGAATGCCCAAGTCCTTAGCTGTGGTGTTTAAAAACTCATTGCCTCAGAGGTGTGTCATGCAATATTTTGGAAGGAAAAATGAAGAATTGGTCAGAAAGATATGAACTGAAGCAAATGATGAAAATTAATATTTTATTTCACATGAATTACCTCCAACAATAAATTATGTAGAAAATACACATTTGAATGCTTTTAATTGCTGGGCAATTTAAAACCTGTTTTCTTTAAAATAAATAAAAAGAAAACAGAAAGAAAATGTAAAACAGCTGGGCATGATACCAACTGCCATACAAATCCAAATTAGTATTGTTATTATCCATCAGTCTAAATGAGAGAATGAATAATAATAAGTTAAGCACAATGTTTGGTGGATCTAGCTGGATGATGATGGTGATGATGATGATGATGATAATTTATAAGATTTAATCATAAAAAACAGCTAACACTTTGGAAGCACTCGCTAAGTACCAGGCGCTGTGCTAAGTGCTTTACACAATTTAGACTCATCTGTTGAGTGCCTGCTGGCCATGTGGGATTGAAGTTGGCCTCCAGACCTTAGCACAACATCACTTCCTTGGTAGAACCTTCTCCATTGGCCCTGGGCAGAATTAATATTTGTGCCTCCATGCCCGTGGTCTATTATTAACCTAATTTCAATAGCTTTTAATTACTTATCAGAGTGGCTATCTCCCCTTCCAACCTGTGAACATCTTGAGGGCTAAGGCCCTGTTCTATTAATCTTTATTAGCCTTAGTGTCCAACAGTGACTGGCGCATAGATGCTGCTCATTAAGTGTTTGTTGAATGAATGCACAGACGAATGGAGTAATTAACACCATCTCCCTTGATGTTCATGCGGTTTTATAAGCTGTTCCCTCCACGAGGCCATTTTCCTGACCTTATACTTCAGAAGCATTCTAGACCTGTGCTATTCCAAGCATGATCTGTCTGCAAACTATTTTCTACCAGTCTGTGTCAAGGTTAAGTGCAGAAATTGAGAGTGAGCATTTAGAAATTGTTAAGCAATTTGACAGGGTGTTTTTATGTCCATTGGATCTAATAGTTTTAAAAATTGGGCTTTTATTTTGCATGTCTTTATTTTTTATTTCATTTTTCTAATAATTCATTCCCACTTTATTTTGCAACAGTATCATTCTGAAACAGATTAAAAAATTTAAAACCAAGAACGGGTTCTTTCGCACAAGTAGGCTAAGAAGTGTGGTTCCAGACCATTGACCTCACTGGGACACCCATAGTTAATGCCAACGGAACCCCACAGGCTGAGCCTTCCTTTCCTGGGTCCCACCCATCATTAATTGGTCTCACATATGGAAGGACTTGGAATTGTCTTTTACTCCTGCTTGGATTCCTCATATTTCCCCTTTTCCCCAAATCTGGCAGGTTAAATGAATGAAAGCTGACTGTGGTCTGGGCCCAGACGGGAAGAGGAGGCCAGGAAGGGGTCGGAAGAGAGTCTAGGAAGGGTGGGGTAGGGAAGAGAATGCTGGAATGGAGCAGAAGCCTGTCCTGGGGAGGGTGTGGAGAGGCTGTCTAAGGAAACCACCCTGAGCCTTCAGGCTGGAGTGCCTGTGGCTGGAGGTGGTGCAGTGAGGGAGGCATGGACCACCTCTGGCAGTGGCATCGGAGCAGATGAGAGCCAGGGTTCTTGAAGGTGGAAGGGAGCAGTTTCAGGACAAATGAAAGGGGATATGAAATGCTTTTACAGAAGGGGTGTTACACATGTGGCTCTCCTGAACACCCTGAGGCGGTCAAGGCCAAAACTATAAATAAGTAGGTCAAGGAGTGATACAGAAGCCCTCGGCCTCCCACCTAGGGGAGGGGAGGGGGGATGAGATGTGCCATATGTAGATGCCCCTTTAGAAAGAGAAGGTCTGAATCCCAGGCCAAAAAAACAGGAAGAACAAGACTTGATTACAGCCTAATCGATGCATTAGCATATTTAAAGATCAACTCAAGGGGAGGATGACAGGGCTCAGAAAGGCAAATTTTGTTGGTGTTTATTAAGCAGAGAGAAACCGGGAATCAGGGAAATCTGGAGCCGTCTGGTCCCTGGAGAGTCAGCTCCAAGGTCGGGCAGGACTGGGGAGCGAGGCCTTTGCAGGGCCTGGGCAAACCTCCCTGGGGACCTGCCAGCTCCCTCGCCTCTGATTCTACCATGCCCACTGCTGTGACCTTCTCATCAAGAATCCTGCTTTCCACAAATAATTGCTTAGAGGGAGGGACCACGCTGCCCATACATTTGAGCATCTGGTCTCTTCAGTGATGATGATATTGATCGCGACTATAGCTAACCTTCTTAAAGCTTTTGTTATGTGCCAGGCACCATTCTAAGCCATTTAAAAATAATAACTTAATTGAACCTCCTTAAAACCCTATGAGGTAGGTATTCCTACCCCCATTTTACAGATGAGAAAATGGAGGCACTGTTAAATAATTTCCCAGGTTCATACAGCTTGTAAGCGGAAGAGCCAAGACTAACACTGGCTGTCTGACTCCAGAACCTGCACTACGCTAGCCTGCCCTGCATTTATCTTTGGTTGAGAACAATAAATTGGCAATTGGGCTGGTGCGTCCTTCTCTTCTGGGATTGATTGGGACGAGTTAGTTCCAAACTCAGCCTGACAAGCTCTGGGGCACTAACCAAATGGGGTTTTGCAAGACTCCCAACTGAGTGCTTCATCTAGAAAGTGCCACCCTGTGTGGCTAAGCCAGTGTGACCAGTTGGCTGCCTGGGCAACGCCCTTCCCCACTACAAAGTCCCAAACCCCTTCAGGGCCAGCCCTCCAGGCACTTCGAGCTGGGGGGCCGGGATCAGGAGGCTGAGGGCTAGGTTTCCCAGCTGTGCGACTTTGAATAGGTCACCACCTGTCTGTGAGTCTCAGTTTCCTCACAAGTCAACTGTGCGTGGTGAACCTCTTACAACAACTCCCTTTTGAAAAGAGGAATCGGTTGGACCCATGAAGGCACTGGCTCTTGCCCAATGCGCTAAGTGAGCGGATGGACGGGAAGAGGGGATTGGGAAAGGCTGGGCACCGAATCCAGGGCAGTTAGGTTCCGCGTTTGATGTCAAAGCCTACTGACCACCACTCTGCGACCGTACTCCAGCAGAAGTGCTGCCGCTTCCCCTGGACGCTTCTTCTGGACCGGCTGCGGCTTAGCAGGCCGAGGCCCTGCAGGGAAGAGTGATTTCTCTACCTCCCTTTTCAGCTCTGGCGGTTAGAAGGAAGAGGTAGGAGAAGTCAAAAGTTCTGTCCAACTGGAAGGTCTGGAGGGGAAAGTTTAAGGGGCTGGAAGAGGCAGGAGCTACTTTCCAGAGCTGGAGGTGCGCTGGGAAGCTAAGGATCCAAACCGGATGAAGACCCCAAGGTTTGGCGGGGCGGCTGACCCTACCCCGAGGGCTCGGCCGAAAGGGGGCGCTGTGGCCTCCTCCGCGCGCTGCCCACTGGATTCCTAGTTGCTTTCCCCACTGTAGCGCAATGCGCGCTCGGCTTTCCCCTCCGCGATGGTAAGATGACGGCTAATCCTGCCGGGCACCGCCGTCTCCCCATCATCTTGGGGTTCCCAGGTTCAGCCCCTTGCCCAAACTGGACAGGCAGTTAGTCTGTAGAATAAATGAACGGATGAAGGAGTTCAGTGAACGAACGAAAAGGATTCCTCCCGCAGAGTTTTCGAGTCTCTGCGAGCCCCTGGCGTGTCAGTGCTAAAGGCGCTGGGGGTCCGGCCCAACGCCCCCGCCCTGCTGAAGGGGGAGCGGCGGAGAGCTTCTCCCGGCCCGCTTCAGGGCGGGAACGGCCCAAACGCAGTTCCCATTTCTTCACCCGGTTTCCGCGGCGGCTCTGCTCATTAGGGGCTGCCCTATTCCCCAGCCTCCAATAGTCTCGCTCAATAGTCTCGAGATTCACCTGAGTCCTTCAAGTCTCCCCCAGACTGCCTTGGACTCCCCAGGCCCCGACCTCAAGCCGGGAGAGAGGCCGGAGGCTGCCTCTTTTCCCGTCTCTCGTCCCCCTCCTTCCCCCCCACCCCCACCCCCCCGCTCCGACCCGAAAGCTCCGACTTCTCCCCGGGCTGCGGCGGCCGCCACCGCTGGTAGCGCGCCCCGCCGACTGCCGCAAGCCTGGGAGTCGGGAAAGGGGGTCAGCGCGGCGAGGGTGTTGGGAGCCGACCGGGGGAAGGGGAGGGGACAGAGGCAAGGTGGAGGAGGGAGCAGAGGGGCGACGTGCGGAGGAGGGACTGAAGGGGAGGGGAGGGGAGGGGTATTGAGAGGAGGGGACGCCGCGGCGAGGGGGCGGGGAGCCGAGGCGAGTGGCGGCGTGGACCCAGCGGGAGGCGGCGGGCTCCCGGCGGGCTAGAGGCTATTGCCAGCGGGGCTGAGTCAGGAAACGGCGGCCGGACTTACCCGGGAAGAGAAAAGCGAGAGCACGCTTGGCCCGGCCGGGCAGCGACAGAGGAGCCGGGCCGCCCACCCCATCCTCCTGAGCCCGCAACCACCGGCCCGCCCCTTTGGGATGTCCGAGGGACCCAAGCACCCAGGACGGTGACCCAGCGGCCCAAGGATGGGACAGCACCCGCAGCTACGGCTCGTCAAGGTAAGAGCGAACCGGTCTGCTCTCGAGCGCGGGCGCCCCCAGCCCCGGGCCGGCGGGGGACGTGGGTGGGCTGTGGTGCTGGCGGCGGTGGTGGTGGGGTCACTGGGCAGAGCTGCACACAGGTCTGGGCGCGGCTGGGATTTGAGGGGCAGCCCAACTCCCTCTCCGTGGACCTTTGGAGCCGGCGTTGGGTGGGAGGGAGGACAACACAGGTGAAAAAATAAATCGTGGTGGCGAAGCTGCCGGGATGTTGGCGGAGGAGTGGGTCCGCCCACCCGGGTAACCAGCTCTGTGCCGAGAATCGCTTTAGGCTTTGGGAGTCCCAGCTCGGTTCCACCTCCTACCCCTCCCAGGCAGACCCCGGCCCCGGGACAGGAGGCTCTGGAGATGAGCTCCCTGCGCGTCCCAGTACCCTCTCATCAGCTACCCTTGTTTGCACGCCCCCGCCCTGTTCCTGAGAGCTCCTTCCTGCCCCTTCCCCTCCGCGGAAAGCTGCAAGTCCAGGGAGATGAATATCACCCGCGCCTCCGAGCCCTTGATCAATATCGCAATCTCCGCGGAGGAGACGGCGCAGTCGGAGGTGGGTACTGTTCCTCTGCGGCGCTCGGCCCGCCGGCGGGAGCGCAGCGCTCGCTCTCCGAGTCTTTGCACTCCCAGTACCGGCGCTGCGCAGTGGGCCGCGCCGGCTCGCTTCTGCCCGGGATCTGGCAAAGCGATTCTGGCACCTGGAGTTTAGGAAAGTCGCCAGACCTCACGTCCAGCGTCTGCCGGCTGAAGTTTGGGGGTGGCAGGGGGCTGCCCGCGGCGGTGTGGGTCTCGGAAAGGCTGGGGGTAGACTGTCCGGCCCGCAGCTAGTGACAGCCTCCACTTCCCAGCGCCCAGCGCTTCCCAAAACGGTTCGGCTTGCAGGGTGTGGGCACGTAAGCAGCAGACAGAGGCAGAGGCGGGTGGGCCTACGCGCCGCCGCGGGGGAGCCCCGCATGGCTCTCGCTGGAGGATCCGGACTCGGCAGGGTCGGTATGGACCGGCTTGAGCCACAAACAGACACAAGCAGACACCAGCTTGACTGGGTTCGGTGCGTTTAAAAGCGATTACATTCAAAAATAAATCTTTGAATGGATTCTGGGGAGGGGTGCGGATTGACTTAATTTTATTTTCCATCAGTTATTAAACCAACTACGTATACCAACTCACAAAGTGGTTTGAGTTAAACCACCAAGATTTTAAAACACAACTGTTCTCAGTTCATCAGTTGTGAGGTTACCAGTTACCGAGGTTTCTCCGTGCTCTCTCCCTGTCCCAAATATTTATGTGGTGGTTTTTTGTTTTTTTTAAATGACTGAGGGTTGGTCTGATTGAACCCATATCCCCTTCTCCACCCATTAACTGAGTAGGGTGGGGGGTAAACCCAGAGATTATTTTCTGGGTGATCAAGGAGACCTGGAGAGGGAGGTAAGAAGAAAAATATCCAGAGAGGTTGAATAGGTGGCACTGAATGGGAATTTTTTCCAAAAGGCTGGTGTGTACTCCCGGCCTTGGTCTAAATTCACAAATCAGACTGAATTCAGTGTCTTAAATGGATTCAAAGTATTGAACTGTAGGGTTTTGTTTGTTTGTTTGTTTTTGTTTCTTTTTAAGTTTACTTGGTAATAGGTAAATATTCTTTCCTTTGGCCTTTCTTAGAATCATGTACAAATCACTGCTTAAAATGATCATGTTTTCCTAAAAGAAAAACATATTTTTTCTGTTGTTATTGTGTGTGTGTATTTCCTATTAGATGGTGAGGTATGTACCCTTTATGTCTGGCCTAATGAACTCACTAAGTGCTCAGTAAATAACTGCATGAGTTGGAGGCAGTGAATGACTGGGCAGCTGATGCTGGTTTCAGTTAAATAATTCTTTTTTTCTTTCCTTTATGTACCATGCACAACTTGCTGGGCATTGTTCTACCTGCTTTGCAAATATTACATCCTTTAATCCCTAGGAAGTAGGAATTATTACTGAGGCACAGAGAGGCTAAGTAACTTGTTCAAGGTCACACAGACAGTGAGTGGTGGAGCCAAAATGCAAACCCAGGCACTGTGGCTCTAAGGCTTTGTTTTGTTAGCGTTTACTAGGAAATATTCTAAGCCACTTAACTCTTATCCTAGACCTCTGCCAAATGAGAGTTCAGGCAGTTTTGTCAGTCTGAAAGTATGAATCTGGGGAAGTTAATACAAAACCCAGCTCTGTCCCCACCAAGTCAGCCAGTGTCCAGCAAGAATCCACTCTGCAGCCCTTATTGTGGGCCTCACACTGCAGTGGTTACAGAGAACTGGGGGAGAGTGTGTGTGCATGTGGGGGGCGGGGAGTGTGTGAGTGTGTGTGTGCGCGGGGGTGGAGAGTGTGTGAGAAAAATGTGGGTGAGTGTGCGTAGTGAGAAATGTGTGTGAGTGTGTGTGAGCATGAGAGGGTGGTTGTGTGTGTGAATGAGGGACAGATGAAGTGTGTGTGCGTGTTTGTGGATGCAAAGGAGGAGATAAGTGAAATATTGTCTCTACCCCCAGGGGAGGGGGGCTCGAGCACCTCTGGGTCAACCTACCCACTAGCTGCAACTCCTAGACCCTACTCGAGTGTAGCTCAACACTGGGGCTTTCCGGTGAGTGTGAAGGGTGGAGAAGGCAGGGCCTACGTGGGTCATTAAAGGAAAGTGAGTTCTGAGGAAAGAGCTGGTTTTCTTGCTGTTATTATTATAAAAGCCATCTAGCCACGTTACACAAAGTTTGGAAACCAGAGGCAAAATTATTACAGCCTCACCTCCTAACACAGCTACTGTTACCATTTTAAAAATAATCCCTCCAGGCCCTTTTTCAAGTGCAGGTTTGGGCATAGCTGTGGCCATTGGGCACACCCTCTCACTGACTGTGTCATAGCCCAAGTCTGTTCCATGGTATTCCCGAGCCTCCAGAGAGCGAGAAGGGTCAGCATCTGCGTATTCTCTGTGAATGGATGTTCTTTGCATCCCTGTTTTGCTGCACATTTGGGCCATTTCCTAATTGTTTCTTTGACAAATAATATGGAGCGGGGTTTTTGAGGGGAGCATTGGCAGGAGGGATAACGACGGGGAACGACGGGGGAAAGTGAGCCCAGGGTGGGGCCATGGGCTGCCATGGAGTTTGGGGACAAGGGGCCTGGTCACCATCAGGAGCGAAGTAGGGGGTGGGGCTGAAAGCCAGGATGAGCAATTCAGATTTGATATGACCAGCCCTGGGAAGGGCGTGACTTGGGTCGGTCCAGTTCTCGAGGGAATAGATTTATGGAAAAGCAGGACACTGACCCAGGGCCAGTGAGCACGAGCTCAAGTGGAAAATCCATTTCTCACCCTCTCTCACATTTGGCTCTTTGAAGAGCATCACCAGCCAACGGGAGTTCAGCTGCACAGAATGAGTTTGGGGGGTCCAAGGTGCCCTTGGCAGCACCCCCAGTGCCTATGATGTTCGCCAAGCCCATGGGCCTGAGCCCTGGCCATTATGTGGCCTGAAAGGAAGGGGTTAGGCACAAGGCTGATCATTGCAGCAGCTATTGGGGTGGAAAGACCATCAACCTGAAAGATGACAAACTTGACTTTGGTCCCAGCTATGCCTCCAATCGGCTGTGTGACTTCAGGTAGGTCGCCTTCCTCTCTGAGCTATAGTTTGTAGACATGGAATTGGACTAGATTCCGTATTACCTTTCACGTCTCTATGAAAAGTGTTTCTGAGCACTCCCTAGGGCCATGATTCCACTCAGGAAGAGTGGGATACAGCAATTCCTAATGTCTGGGACATTGGAACTTGGCACTTGGACCTAAGTACCCGCTGTGAGCTTCAGTGTCCCCAGCTGTGAAATGGGGACAATATCTATCTCATAAGGTTGAGGTAAGGATGGAATGAATTAATACATGGAAAATGCCAGGAACAGCACTTTCAGAAAAAGTTGCTTTCAGAAAAATTTGCAAGGCAGCTGCTCTTCAGAAGAAATGCACTAATGCAGGAAAAGCAACTAGCAGCTCTTGGACACTCAATGTATAGCACTTTTGCATCTTTTACCCTTCACTGCACGTAGTAGTCATTTTACAAATGTTTGTTGCTTCTTCCAGTTTAGTGCTATATAATCGGAGCAGGCTTGTGGCTGCCCATGAGATGCAGATGTCATGTCAAACAGAGATGGCTGAGAGATGCCAAAAAACACCCTAGCAGAAATGCCTTCTCTGATGCAGGAGAGACTGAAACTGCCCCTTAATTAAGTCCTTGTAGTTCTTAAAAACAAAAAGCAAGCAAGAAACAGCCCAGAGCCTTGGCTGGTGAGACTCCAGCCCCTTCCTTTGTCTAGAGGAGAGCAGGTTGGTGGCAGGTGACCTGGGGCCTTTCTTGTTTCTCCCTCAGTGAAAAGAGGGGATGGGTGATGCCCCCCCCCCGCATCTCTGACTGTCCAAGCCGCTCATGGTGTCGGCAAAAGGAAGAGTGAGACCATTTTGGAACTAAGGCCAACTTGGGATTTTAGCTACAGCGTTGTATTCAAAGAATGAATTTGTTAGTGACAAATGACTCCTGTATACTTAGTTTCTGGGGCACAAGCTGTCAGCAGAGTCCCTTGGAAGTAGCACCATCGAGTCCTTTTTAAATGCTAGTCTTGGGACTTGTCGCCCTTGGCCAGCCGTCCCTCTCCACTCAGCGTGGCAGTCAGCGTCTCCTCGTATAGATGAGAACATCAGGTGAAGCAGGTGTGGGCTTGGATCCTGGTCCTCCTATGACGCCCTGGGCAAGTGAGGTTATCACGCTGGACCTCAGTTTCTTCATCTGTAAAAAAGGGGGAACTAGTACTTACTTTATGGGATAACCATAACGAAGTCATGAGATGTCAGGTGGGAAATTAAGTAACAATCATACAGTGTCTGGCACATAGTAGCTGCTTGGTAAATATTAGCTATAGTAGTCACTTAATAAATCTTCCCAAATTTTATCAACCCAAGGAAAACCATCCAAAGGAAGAGTGGTGAGGGGATGGGAAGTGGAGGAAGGAGTATGTGGTAGTGTAGAATCTCCTCCTGCCCCAGGTCCTTTTGACAGTCCCTGGGGCAAAAGGACTGGGCCACCTGCTGTTGGGGGAGCTCAAAGGTCAAAGGACAGAAGTGCCTGTAATTGGCCCTCTGAGCATCTCTGATAAGTGAGAACGTTTGATAATAAAAGTAGAGACCTGTGAGGAGGATAATACAAAATAATTAACTCACTGATGCAAATAATTATTTTGAAAACCACTAGCTGGATTCTATTAAGCAACAGATTATTAACCATTTCGTTTCAGAGTAAGTGATGTCTGCTTCAACAAAACTGAGAGGCCGGACAGCAGAAGGGGCGGGAGGGAGGGCGGAAGACTTGGGGAATACGGACACACACTTCCTTTCCTATGCAGTGGGCATGTTGAGATGCAGTTCTGGGAGCACAGAACCTCCACCTCAGAGAGAGCTGGAGAGAAAGCTTTAGTCAAATGCTCTCTCCGGCAACTGTCCACCCAGCAGCCATGAAAACCTTTCTGGGACAAATGAAAATGTGTGCAGGCACT